AAAAAGTATATATTATTAAAAAGGGTTTCCTATTATAGGGTGAAAGTTGCATGAGAATAGTATCACATTTCACGAGGGAACATACTACAGAGTGTATATACCGATTTATCAATAGACATTTTCATAAACTAAAAAAAAAAAAGGTACAGATGTACAGATGCAGTTCAATCAAACGCATAAGTTCTTTCGTATAGGGTAGTTCACTTGAACATGAAGGCTGAGAATAGTGTATAAAATTTCTTCAATTGAACAGAGTTTTGTTTTTTGAGGTACTTTTAAGTCAAAACCCGTATATTAAGCATTTTTATACATGTGCAAATCTTTGACATATGCACACAAATTCCTTTTAAAGCCATTCCTGAGACTCGCCGCCCAACCCCTTTCTTTGGATTGTCCGTTCATGAAATTTATTTGTCAAATCAATCAGCACCGTGTGTTTTTCGACCTGATCATTTATAAGTATGAGGTATGAGTGATGAGTGATGAGTGCCATCGAGCATGTCTTCTCTGAAGAGGTAAGTACTAAGTACTATAGAGATCCTAAAGAGCAAGATTTGATTTACGCTTAGCGAGAAAAAGCTTAAAGTATAAGTTATTTCAACATCGGGGACCTCAATTCCCCCTAATTCGAGTAAAGATTTTGAGATATTTTTTGATCTTCATAAGCAAGAGATCCTCAAAACTTATCATAATTGATCAAAAATAATATGCAGGAGTCTTTTTCGAGCATAAAACCCGTTATAACTTATGAATTATTAGAAAGAGACGGATTTGAAAGGAAAAGTATGTCGATCGTGGTAATATCACTCGCAAGAGCCGGTGGAGATCAGTGGAGGTTTCAGTTGGCCTATGATTATACGGTGGGTAAAGATGCAATTCAAGGTTCTCGAATGCACGAATTCTTTCTATGAAAATTTACTGAAACATACATTCAATGATTTTCTTCCTTCTCTAATTTGTTGAAGAAGCATCTGAAAATTTATGAGAAATCAAAGTATTTGCTAAATGAAACTTTTGTTGTTTTGTATACATCAACAAAATTTTGTACACTGATCTTCCAATTTCCAATGCAAGGTTTCTTATATTCTTCATGGAGATGTATACAGTTTAATGGATTCCTCGTTTGCAAGAAGATGTTGGAACTCACGCGTTAGCACAGATATTGATGAAAAGCGATTAATAAACAAGGTAATGATTGCTAGAGATATAACGAAGCTCAAGGTATTACTTTATTGGAAAACTATTTAAAAGGGTGTTATCCCAGATGAATCATGGTTTGCAAATTTTATTTCAAAAAGTATCAATATTAATTGTTACTACAAGTTCAAATCAATCAAATCAGCTATGAAACTATCAACAATCGTCGTTCAAGGTTTATTATTATCAGGTATTATCGCCTCTCCAATTGCTGACCCAGCTGCTGACCCAGTTGCTGACCCGGTCCCAGATTCAGCAGATATTGATTCCAACAATTTATCTAATGGTAATGAAACTGCTTCAATTGAAGGAAAAAAGAAAACAAAATTATGTTCTGATGCTGGTAAAGATAAAGCATGTTACTTAGGTAGTTTTGGAAAATGTGTTCCTTATTACACCCAGACTCTTCAACTTTCATGTCAACAAGGTGATCCACAAATGAGAATGGCATGTCTTTCACAACAACCAACATTTGCTAATAAATATTGTGGTTTCTGGTGTGCCAAATTAAAGACCATTGATGATTGTAAAAGAGCTAACAAGGCAACAGGTTTGGGTTACAAATGTAAAAGCTTTGATTATTGTTAAGAAGCTGTTGTGGTTTAGTCTCTATATGTTAAAGTACTTTGATGTTTCTTATAAGAACATAATGTCCGGTCAAAAAGTTATTATGCTTTCTTTTATTATTAATTTTACTAATTTATTTCAAAATATCCATGATTATTTAGGATCATTTTTTTAAAGTTTTATCGTGATCTATGGAACCTATGATATATCAATATACATGTTGTTTTCAATTCATATGCTATCTGTAAACCGATCAAGGTACCACATGAACTGTGATATATACGATTCCAGCTACTTGAAAGAATCGAAACTTCCCAAATATAAGTAACGTATAGATAATAATTGGGACTCTATAGACTCCAGAAATGGGAAAGAAAGCGATTACATAAACTGATTTACAACATAAATAAACGATTTAGCTATTAATATATCAGTACAAATTAGTTTAGAGTCAACTTATATATAAAAGAGCCATTTCCCACAATACATTTATTCATTACCAGTCTTCAATGGTAGCATGATCAAATCTTTCACCAGTCCTATCAAGTCTCCCATATAGATAAGTCACAACTTCATTAACATGAAATTATCAACAACAGTCTTGGTTCAAACTGGTTTATTATTATCTTGTGTTACTGCTTCATCAGTCACTTTTACACCAGATGCAGCTCCAGATGCTCTTGAAAGTCCAAAAGGTGATAATTCCACTGATGGATTGGTTGGTGCTGAAGGTTATAATACAATTTATAACCTTTGCTTTGATGCTAATAAGAGTAAATATTGTTACAAGAATAGTGTCAAAGGTTGTGCTGCAGTGTATAAACATGAAGACAAACTCACTGATTATGAAGCCACTACTATTTGTTCTTTCTGGTGCAGCAAAATCAAGACATCTAATGATTGTAAAACAAAGAAGAAGAAGCTCGACTATGCACCGTTATGGGCTTGTGATGATCAAAAGTATTGCAGTTGAATAAACCATGAGCTAGACGTATAACCTTTTAGTCCGAGGAGTATTGTATATATTAGAATAATACAATAAGCATGATATAACTCTGTATTGTAAAGCTTATTAGCTACACATAGATAGATAACTTTTGGAATCGAAAACAATATTATAACTAGAGACAGCATTCTTTGATTATGTAACCAGTATCAAAATTTTAAATCAAACTTGTTTTTGTTAGTCGAATTATACCAACTATCATGCTTTGCTAGAACTATGGAACCTCCATGAGTCGAATACTCTCAACTGATAATGGTCTACAAATTGTTGAAGTACAGTGGTACAAGTCATGTATGAGATCACACATGGGATCTACAGATATACTGATCAACCGATCAAACTCATAATTATAAATCCGATTACTAAACTTGGCTTGAAGCTTTGGTCAAAATATTCAACGTTGAGTCTTGACTGAAAGAATTTGATTAATGAGTTTCATTGATTTGGATCTTCTTGATGGAATTGATGTACCATACTAAGAAGTTTCCGATTACATATCATGCTTGATGTTGAAGCTGGATATCAACAAATCACACTTCAAAAATGATGGAAACATATGTTCATTGCAAATTTACAACCTCAGAACTCAGAACGATATATAAACGGATAATATTGTCACTTCATTATTCTAAGATTGAGCGAATTGGCTATCAATAGTTATCAGATTCAAATCGGTTAAATCAAACAAACAGTCTTTTTAATATGCAATTATCATCAATTTTGCTCCAAGGTTTATTATTATCCAGCGTTATTGCCTCTCCAACTGGTTCTACTACAGCTGCTACTCCAGATGTTTCTGAAGGTTCATATGCTGATAATTCCACTGAGATATCAGCTGCTGGTGGAAACCATCACCTTTGCTTTGAAGCTAATGAAGGTCAGAATTGTCATGGTAAGAGTATCGGAGCTTGTTCTAAATATCAACAAGGTAAAGGTCTCAATTCTGGTCAGGCTAAAAGCTATTGTTCTTTCTGGTGTAGCAAAATTAGAGACGTCTATGCTTGTAAAGACAACAAGAAGAAGTTTAATTATCATCCTAAGTGGGGTTGTGATGGTCAAAAGTATTGTTATATGTGGCGTTGATCCAATATTTATATATAATATTAAATGAACTATATGCTAATTCTTTAATCATGAAAGGCGCGTAAAATATCAAATATTTATCATACTCATTATATCAATTACACTTTAAACTTAAGTCTGTATACCTATATGACCCTATATGACCGCATATATCTTGTACCAAATATAAACTTCATTACTTAATGTACGTCTACGCCTGATCATTATAATATTCTATCAAAGGTAAAGCTTAGCTACACATGTAGCTGAAGCCTTAAACAAACTACATATAAACAATTTCATCAGTACCTCTTTCTTTGAACCTTTCATGAGTGTACATGTCATCAAATCATTTATCAACTATTCAAAGCTCGTAAGTTATTCCGTGATCTTAGTATAAGGTACTCCAGTCTTGATTGTTTTTGACTAAAAACGTTTTGCAGTTGGTTTTGAATTCTGTTGAGCTCATGCAAAATATCTTTTAAATCTTTCAATATGAAAGGACTAGGTGTCATATTTCGCAATCAGCTTTAAGATCTAAACCTTATAATTGTTACCGCATCTACCACGCAGCTGCTCAGCTAATATATAATTTGCTATAGATGAGAGTTTTGCAAATTATAAAAAAAGATCAGATCGATCATTGAATATGATTTCAACTAGTGATTGAAAAGTTTGGGTCTCTTTATTTACATTCACTACCTTTAAACTAGATATCAATACGTCTGCTTTTGACTAATGAACATTGAATACGCAAATTTTTTACGAGAGAATCCGATTACCAAATCGGGTCAAAACGGAATTTGCAAAATTCGCTGATTGAATTTTGATTTTTGATCAAAACAAACAAATCTTTTATTTCTGTTACTCATTGAATTTTTATACTAACTGTCATAACTAAATGAGTCCTGGCCATGATTGTGACTTCTGAACTGAGAATTGCAAGACTTGAATTAATACCCAATTGATTGAATTCTCTACAAGCGATTAAAGATCGAAGTATCTGATCAATTGAATTGACATTATAATACGAGATATCCGATTAGTAAACCAGGGTTGAGAATTAATGTTCAACTTTGATGAAGATTTTCAATTCATTAGTTGATTTTGATATGCTTTACATATTTTGGAAGTAATTTTGTTATTCGTTCAACAAGCCACAAGTCAGAGGTGTGTTTGGTGAAGTATAAAATACACCAACTGAACTTACATTCACAGGTTATAATCAATTGATATAAGATATTAAAAGTTTCCTGGATCAAGAAATAAAGCTTTGAATAGATGAGCTCCATATAGTACATCAATTGATTTCCATGATGCTCTTGATTCCAATTTCACACCAATAATCGTCTTTGCGATTATATCAGTCAGTAATAGAGACACATACAGTGCATGAAAGTAAAAATAAGCACAAACTAATACAAATATTGAATATGGCACCTTTACAGAATTTGAAAAGTTAGAACCCTATAAAAAAAAACTATATAAACAGGCACCTGCTCCTCATTTCCTTAATTTGAGTCTTGCACTGTTATAGATAGAGATCATCATCAACTCATTTGAATCAAACAATCAACAATTCCAGATCACCATGAAGTTATCAACAGTTATTTTACAAGGTTTACTATTATCAGGTATCATTGCAACTCCAGTTGCTATACCAGATGCTGCTGAAGACTCAATTTTTACAGAAGGGCTCGACGTTGCTAATTCTGATAACTCAACAGACTTTCATTTAGAAGGTGATCAAAAAGGATTAAAAATTTGTCAAGAAGCAAATAAAGGTAAATATTGTTTCAAAGATGATATTAATGGTGCTTGTGTTGAAGGTTATAAGAAAAGAGCTCATATGACTGAAAAAGATGCTAAAAAAGCCTGTAAATTCTGGTGCAGTAAAATCAAAAATGCTGATACATGTAGAAAGCTTAAGGTTAAGTATGATTATCATCCAAAATTTAAATGCAGTGAACAAAACTACTGTTAATTTGGAATATGATTGATATCAAACCATAGTTTGGTGCTATAGCTTCTACTTTATATGACATATATGGGCAAATGTTTTTATACTCAATTGAATATTATAAGTTCTTTATTATTTTATACACACGCATTGTAGCATATATAAAGAGTCCAAAGTAAACTTCAGCATCAGTATAGCATTCGAGATCTGCTTTCGGATACACTCAACCTGTTACTAAATAAGACCTTCAATCATTGATAGGTACAGCATATGTAAAGCTCTGAAAGCTAAAAAAAAAGCTTAAATTCCCAAACTTCAAACTACAACAGTTTTCTTACAAGATATTTTTATCTCTTGGTAAGATTTGACATGTACTAAATCAGATGGTTTGAAATTATACGAGGTAATCCGATTATCAAATCGGGTTTTAAATCTAATTGATACTCGGTGAAGCCTTAGTGCTACAACAATGGTTATACTATATGTTTTGTTGGTTATGAGATCTTACATCAAGATGGTTTTTGAAACATTCAGTATAAAGGGGGTCAAAAAGTATATTATACCTGTTATATAATATAGTTGCGATTATATATCAGAGCATCATCATAGTGGTATTTATCAAACTAATGTCTTATATTTGATCTAGCAAATCCTGAAAATTGGAAAAAGGTATAGAAGAATAAGGTACGAAAAAGGTTATATCATGACCATTGATGAGCTATACTTTTATTTTGAGAAACTATATTTAAAGAGGGCATAATACCCTAGCTATTTTTTCTGAATCGGCTTTGAGACTTTATATGAGTTTCATATCAATCCAGTACCAACTCAATTGAATCAAACAGTCAGCCAATCTGAATAAACATGAAATTATCAACAATTTTCGCCCAAGGCTTACTATTATCAGGTATCATCGCTTCACCAGTTGCTGCTACACCAGATGCTTTGCCAGATATTCTTGAAGGTCCATCTGCTGATAATTCCTCTGATTTATTAACTCTTGCTGGTAAGTCAGAGTATAAACTTTGCTTTGAAGCTAATAAAGGTAGATATTGTTACAACTATAGTGTTTCAAAATGTGTTGATGCTTATCTTGCCCATCCTAAGAAACATCTTACTTCTAGTGAAGCTAAAAGTCTTTGTTCTTTCTGGTGCAGCAAAATCAGAAATCCTAATGATTGTAAAACCAACAAGAAGAAGTTTAATTATCATCCAGAATTTGCTTGTGCTAAGCAAACATATTGTTAATTTGTTGATGATATTCACATCATATAAGATTTGTTGCGTTATGGTACAAGATTACATATGAGCTCAATATATCAATTTCTTTTATTCTCATTTCTATATACATGACGTCCTTATATTAATTATATTATACAATATACGTACATATAAACTATACATAACTCATATTTAAACTGAATAACTATGTAACCTGCTCAATCAACCAAATTTGCCTTTGCTCGATTATCAGTATATTGAGTTATAGTATAAACCTAGAGTCGTAAAAGCATTCCTTTTAATAAACCAGGGCACTGACCGGAAAAATTAATACTTCAAGTGCGAGTTTATTTATAATTGTATTACTTCTTCTTTCAAAATCGTGGGTATTTTGACCTTTCAAACACTGTTTTGCTTCTTTTGTATATTCATGCTGTTCATTATTGAAAGGATGCGATGATATAGCTCTTTTGGTGAGTTTCAGCTATTCTGTCAGGAATATTGAGGATTATATTTGGCAACATTTCAAGCTTTAGATCGAGGAAATTTGCAAAGCGAAAGACTTATTGATTAAAAATGATTGTTATTAGAAAAAAGAGGGTTGAAAATTATTATCCTGATCTACACTCACGTTTAACCTAATAAATCGCCAATTGATTTTCATTACTTTTGTTTTTGGTGAATCTTCCGCATGTTTTTGCGATTATATTATCAGAACACCATACGTGGACGGTATTAAAAGATACCTGATAGAAGAGGATTATGAGTATATCAATCATGAATCATATTTCAAGGGGAACTATCCCTTCTTTTTTATTTTTGACTTTTATAAGTCTTTATACACCTGGGTATCAAATCAATTGAAACAACTACAATCATAATCAACATGAAATTCACATCAGTCATAGCTCCAGGATTATTGTTATCAGTGATAGCTGCTTCTCCAATTTTTGCTCCAGCTGCTACTGAAAGCTCAATTGACTCTAATGGAACCACATTCCAATCGGATAACTCAACTGATGTTTCCCTACAAGGAGAGAAATTTTGTTTCAAGAAAAAACAAAAGGATATATGTCACGGTGGAACCTTTAAGAAGTGTGTTAAATACTATAGAGGCATGCCACCTGATGGTGAGAGAATAGGTCCTAATACTTGTGGTTTCTGGTGTACCACAATGAAGAAGACTGAGGATTGTGGGTTTAATAAGCTTAAATATAATTACCATCCAGATTTTGCTTGTGCTGATGCAGACTTCAGTTGCTGAGCGTATTTAGAGATGTTTTATTAGATAGCATTCAAATATATATGATCTTAAAACTCTTTATGTATGAAAGTTGCAATTAGTGAGCTATAAAGTCTATGTATCTGATTGAAATATAAGGACTTCATTTGTATACCATATATTAATATCCAGTGGGGATATTTATTCAAACTTCAAAGCATATGCTATATTTCAATCTATATTCTGCACTAGTTAGAATGAAATTTAACCACCAATAAATATGATAACCAAAAGTACATACCATCTATAGTACCTTTAGAACTCAGGAGCCTTTCAATACAATTCACTGCAATATTATAGGCTTAAAATATTCCAATTACCAAATCGGGTCAAAGCGGAATTTGCGAAATTCGAGATATTCAAAATTTTAAAATCTGATTGAATTTTGATCAACTACTGCAACTGCTACACATGAGTTGTGTATTGAGCTAAACCAAAACATGGAAGGTCGACTAATCACTTTATTGGTCAAGATTACCTTGAATATGTGCTTATGCTATTCATGGCAGATAATTCCACTCTAGTGCATTTTGCATAGCCCTTTGATCCTCTCTGTTGGAGCATATTCAGGTTTAAATTGGGATCCGATTATATCATAGACGATCGAACGCCAAATCAATTTAGATCAAAGCATGATAGTAGGTTATAACTCATAAAATGGCATATGGGTGAAAACTTTGTGAATCTGTTTCTTTGTGAACTATATAAAGAACGATGATCGCTGCTTGGTGGCCTTTATTAATCAATACTATATCAACTAGATCAATCAACTCAATCAACATTCTCATCATGAAGCTATCATCAATCTTAGTTAAAGGTTTCTTATTATGTGGTATAATTGCTTCACCAGCTGCTACGGAAAGTTCAATCAATGCTGAAAGCTCCACATTCTCTTCAGATAATTCCACTGATTCAATTATGGCTGAAGCTGGAGGTGAAGGAAGATTTTGCTTTGGTGCTAACAGTAAGTATAATGTATGTCATGGTAGTGTGGAAAAGTGTGTCAAGAAGCGTACAGGTGGTAGTAAAGACAAGAGCAAAATTGATGATGCTACTAAGCTTTGTAAGTTTTATTGCAGTGAAGTTATGAATACTACTCAATGTAAACAGAGCAAATATAAAGCTGATTACCATCCAAATTGGTCTTGTGATAAACAACAATATTGCTATTAATGGTCTTAATACTTTTTGTCGAAGTTAATAGGTTACGTCGCTCAGGTCTAAGTATAAAACTACTTATATAGTTGTGTGGTGGTGAAGCATATATAATGTGACTGTGATCTTAATATAACCCTGGACATGATAACAGATGTAGTAACGATATAACGATATAACAACATGACAATGATATAGAACTATATAGATATAACTTGGAGTGTAAGTACTAGAGTAGACCTGGATCTCTCATATGTATTTTTGACACTGTTTTCGTTCGTTCAATAACTTTAGTAAGTTACATATCAAACATCAGTAATGAAATCAAGACTTAAAATCACATTACTTATCTACTACATCGATATAGACTAATTTTTAATTTAATTATAAGCTGTATTATCATATTAATATCTAACCTATCATAATATTTAACAGTATTGTGCATCATCACAAGCAAAATTTGGATGGAAATCATATAATTTCTTTATACTTTTACAATCATTAACATTTTTGATTTCATTACACCAAAACCCACAATATTTACCACCATAGATACTATCAGCATCAGTATGGTCCCTATAATATTCAGTACATTTTCTATAACTTCCATCTTTACAGAAAGAACTCTTATTCTGGTCAAAGCAAAGGTAAGGAAATTTGGAAGCTTGATGAACAGTAGATGTACCATTTTCAACAGAATCTGGAGTTGAGATTGGTGAGGCGATAATACCTGATAAAAATAAAGCTGTTGTAAAACATGTTGAAAACTTCATATTGGTGATGATACTATATATAGTTATTCTTAGTGGGTGTAATCCTGCTTATAAGTAAATAATACATGGAAGCTTCAGAGCATAAGAAGAAAGCGTTCCTTTTATATACATTAATAATCTTTATAAATGATCGCTACACTTTGAGGGTTAGAACTTATTATAGATCTTTCACAGTTTGAAATCGTACGTATATGTATAAGCTCAAATTGTACATTGTACATCAATTGATTAATTGGAGACAACTGCATGACACAGGGTATGAAATCTGAACCGAATTTATCAAATGATCGGAGCTTGAGCTTGGTAAGCATATATGGCATTGATCGAACAATGATTAACATATCCAATATTGCGTTGAGACATCTTTTGATTATGTAACCAGTATTAAAAACTCCAATTAATCAAATTTGTTTTTTGTTAATCAAGTTGAATTATACCAACTAGTATCTTGCTTTGCTACCCATGCAACCTTGATTGAATACTTTCCAGCTTATGATGGTCTGCAAATCGTTGAAGCACAGTGGTAATATAATGTATGAGCTAACATATGAGATCTACAAATATACTGAAGTCTGCCAGTGGTTATACGAGAGAATCCGATTACCTAAACTTGACTTGAAGCTTTGATCAAAATGCTCAACGTTGACCAAAATAATCCAATTGAGTTCCATTGGTTTGGATCATCTAGGTGGAATTGATGGGCCATATGCTGATAAGTTTCCGATTACATATCGTTCTGGGACATTAACAAATCACAACTCAGAAACAATATCAACAATTAAATTACGATAAAGAACCCTAGCTGTTACATTCATCACATATTTCCTTTTTGAAAAAGGCTATATAAACATATGATTGTCACTCCATTATTATAATCCTTTAATTCTATCAATAAGATCTTCAGATTCAAGTCAATCAAATCAAAACCAAAATCAGCTTCCTTAATATGCAGCTATCATCGATTTTCCTCCAGGGTTTACTATTATCAGGTATCATTGCTTCACCAGTTGCTGCTACCTCAGATGCATTGCCAGATAGTTTTGAAGGTTCATATGCTGATAACTCCACTGATTTATTAGCTGTTAATAAAAGGGCAAAGTATTACCTTTGCTTTGATGCTTTTGAATCTGGTAATAATTGTTACGGTAAGAATAGGAGAGATTGTTCTAATCATCAACAAGACAAGGGTCTCACTCGTCGTGACGCTGGAAATTTTTGTGATTTCTGGTGTAGCAAAGTTAGAAATGTTGATGATTGTAAAACCAGAAAGAAGTGGGCCAATTACCATCCTAAATGGGCTTGTAAAGATCAAAAATATTGTTAATTTGTTGGTGATGAAGTCATATCTTGTTGCATGCTACGTCTTTCTTAATCAAAATAAATTATTTATCACATATGGACTCAATTTACCAATTGCTAGACGTTTATACGATCCATTTTATATACATGACCATATTTTGTAAACTATACATGTATATTTCATATGTAATACATCACATATATCAAGGACAAATGTTTTATGTGGTCTTAATTGGAAAATAATTATAGCTCTAGCTTCAATATTCTATTATTGCACAGGCATAAATGTAACAATATGAAGCGTTTTCAAAACAAAATCAGCTTCAACATTGAACAGCCAAAACTTTTAAATACCATTATTACATTAAAGCTCTTAATATGAAGAAGACTTCATGAATCTGCTAATCACTAGCTTCCCAAACCTCAAATTACTGACAAACCTTTCTTGACATGAGATCCACAATTCTTGGCTCTATTTGACATACGCTGAAGCAGATGGTAAAAAAATTAATTGTTAGTTATACGAGGAAATTCGATTATCGAATAGGCTCTGGGGTCTCGAAGATCATGTTATTCGATGATTGATTATTATAAAGATTCATAAATTTCACTCAATCGTATTCATTTGAGTTATGTAGGAGAATATTTCAATTGGGATGCATTATAATGTATTCATAATACTCGAGAACCTCAAAATATTGATCTTCACTGCATATACAATCTGGAGAATGGAATCCGATTACCAAATCAGGTCGGGCTCGACTCAAATAGCTACCACTTGTATAGCTTCTAACTGCATCTAACATGAAATAGATTCATGAGTACCCTTCAGAATAAATCAATTTAACATTTTTATAATAATCTAGTCCCGTTGAATATGTACAGCTATACTAGCCAAATAGTTGCAGACGTTAATATTGATACTAATTAATATTCATGAATTTCATGATCACAATTAATTTTACTGACTTAATTTGATGTTAACGTTAGATTCTTTAGTAGTATAATTGTATAAGCTGCACCCCAAAGCTTGCTTCAAAAGCTTTTGGATAACTGAGTGTAATACACAACAATACGATTGACGTTTAATTATATATATGTAAATATTTCCGATTATATAAGAGCGATGGACCCCATTAACTAGGCAGTTCAAATGATCAAACTCTGATTACAGAGTACCTCAAATTTCAATTATATAAAATCGAAAAGGTATAAATATCTTAGAAATTCACTCTTTATTTTTGTCAATGGCTCAATGATTCAGAAACTAACTAATTACAAAGGGTCAATTAGGTCAACAAAACAACATCAACATCACTATCAAAATGAAACTATCCACAATTTTCTTTGAAGGTTTATTATTATCAGGTGCTCTTTCTTCACCAATTGCTGCTGATGACGCTTCTTTGGAATCCAATAACTCCACTGATGCTATCCACGCTGAAGGTAGAAAATGGCCTCATCTTTGTCAAGACGTAAATACTGGTGCATATTGTAAGGGTAATCTAGGTGTTAAGCAATGTATTCCTAATTATACCATAGGTGGAATGAGTGACGAAGAAGCTTTCAAAGTTTGTAAATTTTGGTGCAGTGAAATCAAAACTCCTACTCAATGCAAACAAAGCAAATATAAAGCAAATTATCATCCACCTTGGGGTTGTGATGGTGCACAATACTGCAAAAAATAGCATCGATTGATCATTGATTGTCAATTACACTAATTTGTGTGTATTATTTGGTTAATCTATTAAATAAAATATTCATATGATATATGGAATATATGTAATATTCAAGTATCTTTGAATAATGATAACGATATAATTACTGTAATTAATTTAAATTAGTTATATGTTCTTGGAATTTTTGATTATGATCGATTCAAGTACAGCTTTAGAATGTTATATATTGCATATGTGACATGTAACATGCATCTTTGTATAGTCCTTTTAATCTTCTTTATGGATATTTCTCGACTTGTTGTCTTAAAATATATTGGGTATCTTGGTATCATTCAAACAATTAATGCTATACTCAAACATAACATCTTCAAACCCTGAATATTCACTTAAAAGACTTCAATCCTGCAGTATATTATAAAGAGGATTTGTATACTAAATCAAACTATAAAATCAATTGACTTTTAAGAGCTAATAAAGGAGAAAAACAAAGATTTTGTAGCAATAGTTATTCTCTTTATCTTTATTATAAGTTTACTGACGATCAGTAAGAATAATTTATAATTTATAATGATAATCTAGCACTTTAAATCAATTGATCAGAAAATCTTTGAACCATAAGATATCTATTCTAATTGTGACAGTCTCTGACTTCTAAGTCATGAAGTTCAATGAGAAGTGATGGTGTAGCTTTTTCCCTTCACGAATCCAATAGTATACGTAGAAATGAAAATCCCAATCGTGAAAAAAAAATTTGAACGCGACGTGCTTGAATAATTTTACTGGAGTCGGTATAAAATAGTTCAGTAACTTCAGTTCTTGGACAACAAGAATAAGTTTCCTAATCATGGTGGAGCAGCAATATCATATGCCATAATAGTGTTTTTGGTTTTCCATGATTGAAAACTCATAAACAATTATTTGAAGGCGCTATTGAAGAAGAACAATCAGATTATGTTGAAAGAGCCCAAAATCAAAATGTTGCAGCTGGTAGTAAAGATGAAGAAGAATCATCATTATCAACTGTATCTTCCTTAGTCTTGTTATTTATCCTAACTGTTGTTGCTTCTGTTTGTGTTGATTACTTGGTTGGTTCAATTGATGACACTGAAAAAGCTAGGATGGTTATTGTACTAAGAGATAGAGGATTATTGATCAATCTTATGCTACCAATGAAATTTGCTTTTATCTAAGGAACATAATTTTGAATTGAAAGCAATTGCTTTGAGATCGTGGTCAAATACTCATAGTATTGAATTGGTTTATTGGTCTGTTTCAAGCATTGAGATCTACACAGTGCTGCAAAAGTTTCCGATTATATCATAACGGAAGACATCAGATTATGGGGTTAAGCAGATTTTAGAATTTATGTCACTTCAGAAATAGCTGATAAATTACAACTATATAAGAGTACCAATTATTTCTTGTTTTTATATCGCTGGATTAGCAATTAATTTTTATCATTAGTATCAACTCAATCAGATCAGTGAATAATTAGCAGGTTTATTTACACCAACATGAAATTATCATCAATTTTCCTACAAGGTTTACTCTTATCAGGTATTATGGCTTCACCAGTTGCTACAGAAAGTTCAATCAACACTGAAAACTTATCCTTACCTGGAAATTTCACTGATCCAATTATATCAGAAGCTGCAGGTAAAGGGTATCTTTGTAATGATGCTAACCCAAATAATGCTCTTTGTTATGGAAGTGTCAAAAAGTGTATCTATATGACCACTGGTGCTGGTAAACAAAAGAACTTAGTTGATTATGCTACTAAGATTTGTAAGTTTTATTGCAGTGAACTTAAATCAGCTACTCAATGCAAACAAAGCAAAGTTAAAGCAAATTACCATCCAAAATGGAAATGTGATGATTTAAAATATTGCTAAGCTTATTGCTGTATGTTATTTAATTTCGGGTAGCTGATTTTATATCCAATGCTATATATAATATATGAGATCAAGATGTAACATGCATATTTGTGTATTCAATTTAATCCTTTTTATAGATACTTCTCGACTTATATACAATTGAAGTTTCTTGGGTATCATCCGAACAATTTATATTATACTCAAACATAACATCTACGATCTGAATTCATTTGAAAGACTTCAATCAGTTGTATATTATAAAGAGGACTTGTGAACTTAATCAAACCTACTTTTATAAAATCAAATGATCGTTGAATGTTGATAATGAAGGATAACATATCTGGGGTTTATAAATAACATGAATAACCAACAAATTTTCTATTTTCTGAATACTTTGTGTACCCAGAATATATGCTTCCCACTTCGAACTGGGATTAACCATACTATTTTGCAGACGCAGCCTTTTTTAAAAATCATGCTCAGAAGCTATAAGGGTATCGCACAACACTTCCAAGAATATCGACAGTATGAAAAAACAACACATATTCAATTATACGTTGGACATAATCCGTATTTTGATCAAAAGGTGTAACAGTGTGTAAAATTTTTCAAAGAGTTCATAAAAATCTAGTAAACTGAACCCGCGAATCTCAAAATCCCATATAAATTGTAAACTTTTGGTTGAGAAAACTGAAACTTCCCTACTAAAATATAACCACAGTGATAAAACCAGCATTTAATCAATCCATCGAGGGTTTCCAATTTAGGTTTCGTTGGAACATTCTTTGAGGTGGAGCTCATGTGTATCATATGACTTAGGGGCTGTTATTCTACTAGGGCTACAGGGGTTCGAAAAATTTGCTTGAATTAAAGGTCTAACAAGTTAATTTGATCTATAGAAAGCTTTTGGATTGAAGGTCATGATCAAATAAGCTCCCTGGACTTGGATTGATTTATTTGTCTATATCTGCAATTAGTCTTGATTTACAATGTGCTGCAAAAGCTTCCGATTATATCATAACGGAAGATCGATTTATCATGTCAAATTATAATTGAGTTATAAAAGGGCAATAAGGTTGGATATTCCGATTATATCAGATTGAGTTGAATTGAATTTTGACCAATAATTAGAGAAATTAAAACTGTTCAAGACTTTAATTATAATTAAACAACGTGATGCATGGTAAAACAATTATGGTTATACTGAAACATTTCTTCACTACAAATTCTGGTTTTTGCATGATAGCTATATAAATGGGTAATGAAATCTTCTCTTTTTAAATTAATATCTAGCTATATGGATATTCATCAGTACTCAATTCATTTGAACTAAATCAAATAATCTACAACAAATTATCAACATCAATATGAAATTATCAACAATTATTGTTCCAGGTTTTTTATCATTAAGTGTTATTGCTTTACCGGCTGCTACAGAAAACTCAATCAATGCTGAAAACTCCACATCTCTACCAGGTAACTTTACTGATCCAATCATAGCTGAAGCTGGAGGTGAAAGATTTTGTTTTGGTGCTAACAAGTATAAATATTGTAACGGCAGTGTTCAAAAATGTGTTGAGGGTCGTACTCGTGGTGTTAAAGACAAAACCAAAATTGAAGATGCTAATAAAATCTGTAAATTTTTTTGCAGTGAAATCAAAACACCTACTCAATGTAAACAGAGCAAATTAAAAGCTAATTATCATCCAAAATGGGCTTGTGATAATCAAAAATATTGCTAATTGTCTTATGCTTTATTGGAGCTTCTAATACATAGTAGCATATTACACCTGGACAAGTGTTTCGTGTCTATTAGCTACTTAAATGATTATAAATATTCATAGTATATCGAATATAAGAAGTACATCTAATTTTGGTGTAAAATAGCTATATTGAACCCGCGGATTCTAATATTATCAAATGATTGTGTTAATCATGATTGATGAAGTTTCCATATTGAGTACTTTTCAACGCTTTTGAAGAAAATTCGACAGTTGGTGAAACCATGACTACTATCGAATATCTTCAATCATAGTTATGGAAGTTGATCTATTATATGGTTCAACTATTGAGAAGTACAACATAAGCTTAATAGGAGCTAACAAATTTTCTTCATTTCCACCAACACCTCACAACGTTTCTTAACAAGATCCCCAAAACTTGGTTCAATTTGACACAAATTAAAGCAGATGGTTTGATATTATCTACTATCAGAAAATCCGATTATAAATTCGGCATTTTAGAGTTAATTGATACACGGTGATCTTAATGCCCCAACCTTGATTGCCTCGATTGTTCTGTTGGTTAAAATCGTTTTGTTAACTGTGAAAATGCTACAAATCAGAAAAGGGTCTCAGCTAGATTGAACATTTTTAAACATGATTAATAGTGATCTACCAATTGATTTCCATTAACTAGTTTACTTTTGGTGAATCATATATTGACGTTTGCGATTATAAAATAGCATTGTACGTATATTTGGAAGACATTAATTAATGCATATAACAATTAGATCGAGGATCAACCAACATTAAGCAGCCAACAATCAGATTGATAAACTGAGGTTATGTATGATTACACGGTGGCACAAAATGGTTTTATTTATTGAGAATATAGTTGATCTTGGAAACTATATAAAGAGAGACTATGTACCCTCTTTTTGGAGGCCTATTTAAGTATCAATCGATATCAAATTAATTGATTGGATCAATATTAATATCAAACAACTTAACATCATCTCTATATCATGAAGTTATCATCAATCGTCGCACAAGGTGTATTCTTATCAGGTATTTTGGCCTCAGGTAATTCTACTGATGAAGTCACAAATAAAGCTAAAGTTCCAGGTCCTGTTCTTTGTTTTGAAGCTAATCAAAGTCGTTACTGTCATAAACATGATGTTCAAAAATGTGTTGTTGAGTATAAAGGTCAATCTGGACCATATCAACGCAGTACTAAAGATGCCCTTAGCTATTGTTCCTTCTTTTGCAGCAAAATTAAGAATGTTGATGATTGCAGAGATATGAAGAATAAATTTGAATATTTTCCAAACTGGTATTGTGCTGATGTTCCATATTGTTAAATCTTAATCAAATTTATATATAGCTCATTGATTTTATAGTAATATTGGTATATACTGCTATTCATTATATACAAATATTTTTATTTAAAGTACGTACATTAACGTTCAATTTCTAAGTTATAATAATTAGATCTGTCTTTAATCACAAAGTAAATCTCATATATGGATCTACCGTGCAAATTCGGAAAGATATTGCCATTATATCAGATTTAGTCGTTGAATCACGCCATCAAACCAGTTCAAAGTTGGAAGTATTAATCACAAAAGGTGACCCGTGTGTAATTTTATATTAACAATTTAATTATATTGTGAATCAAAGACGTCTATAAATATATAGTAATTGTAGCTTTGAGTTATATATCATTAAAAGCTGCTGTATATTAGCTATATTTATATATATAAAACGTGACATACACTATCTAGTAAAATGTTTCTAGTCTAAATATACTTAATTAACAATGGAATTCTGCATCATCACAAGACCAATCTGGATGGTAATTAAATTTCAGCTTGTTAAAACCACAATCCTTAGTCTTTTCCATTTTTGTACACCAGAAACCACAAAAGCTAGGAGCTCTTTCAACACCAATAGATGGCTGGGATGAATAATATTTAACACATTTATTGAAGCTGCCACCGTGACACGATTGTTTTTGAGCTCTCTTAAAACAAAAACAAGAATCAAATCCTTCCATGGATATATCAGTTGAGTTATCTGATTGGAATTTTGGTTCATTAGCAGTTGAGCTTTCAGTAGCTGCAGGGACAGAAATTGGTGAAGCAGCGATACATGATAAGAATAATCCTGAAGCTAAGACTGATGATAATTTCATATTGACTATAATTATAAAATATGCTCATAAATATATTGTCAAAATGGTCAAAAACACGAGGAATAGTTATCTCTTAAATATTCGATTGATGAAATCAAATTAGTTACTGAAAATATATACTGCCTTATATATGCCCTCTTCAATAAATTGATCTAAATTAACTTTAACTTACTCTAATTTCTTCCACGTTATATGGTGATCTGATGATATAATCGCAAACACTTGTGGACGATTCATCAAAGTATAGAAACGTAAATGTGGATCAGGATATAAATGATCTTCAAACGTCCTAATTCGTACAATATGTGAATCAGCTTGATCGATCTAGTACTAGTTAAAGACGCTAAAATAATTTGATTAATTTTGATCTATTAATCAAACAAAAGTGACACACGTTTCAATTTGTGAGAGCTTATATATCTATTCAAACTTAATCCCAGACTCCCAATACATAATTTGATGAGCATATTCCTCTCTCTGATACACTTCCACTTGTTATTTATTGATTCTTTATAATTCTTTCCCTTAACATATAGTTATTGGCTTAAACCATACTATTCATTAGCAATTATTGTATCTGATCATGATTGAGCTATCTCAAAGTACCCCTTCAAGGATATATTTCTCTTGATGTTATGCAGTAATGTATTGTATCTTTCAGAATCATGTAAACGATTTAACATCTACAATCTGCAATCTGAATATATTCAAAAAGATTTCAATCAATTGTATATTTATGAAGAGAGTTTGTAAACTTAATCAAATCTACTTGTATAAAATCAAATGATCATCATGATAATAATAAAGGATAACATCTCTAGGACTTTTAATCAATTGAATACTCAACAATTGTTGTGATCATTTGAAGTCCTCAGATCTCAGATCCTTACTTCATGTTCCTGAAATCTCAGAATCCAAAAATTGTTGGGGTTAATTCTTTTGCTAATATTTGAAATCAGTTAATTCTTTTACTAATATTGGAAATCATGTCCGAATCTATGACTTCTAGACGATTGAGTTCATGTGTTAAGTGATGATTCCAATGTATTTTTCCCCTTACTCGAAAATGGAAAACTACACTAGACCAGGGCACAAACCACAAATATTCGTCTCGAAAATTAATTCGATAAATATTTCATATACTATCATTGTTCACTGGCATCGTATCTGTTTGATATAATTTTGAATAGGATTTGGTTGCACCTTGCGCAACCGAAAGTTATTGTACGTTTTTTAACCAAGTTCATGAAAACACCAACTTTAATGCTTTAGAAAGCTACTATGCTGCATTTCTCGTGAAGTATGTTAAGATTTGATGAAATAAGTCAACCATGATGAATCATTAAGACCTTTGAATACTAACTAATCACATGCTTCAGTGAATTCATTTAGCTCTTTATGAAGTGGAGCTTGAATATACTAAACAGTGCATGAAATGTGGAAAGAAATATATCATTAAGATTTATGATCTTGATCATGACTAACCCATTCAATGTTCATGTTTAATAAACTTCACAGCACAGTATTTATCGATTTTATAGTATATAAGTTTTGAAATTATAAACTTTTACATAGAATCTAATGAATATCATATATTTGATTATTGAAGTAGTAGATAATTTAAAATATCCATGTAATATTAATATTAATATTTTAATATAATATATTAGTTATGTTTTTTTTTTTTCATAAATTTTTATTACAATGTAATTCTTCTATATAATTGTTAAATATACACTCTTTTGAACTTGTTAATCGGTTCTAGCTTCTTCACATCTTGGTTTTATTTTTATTTGATCTAACTAGTTTGAGGAGTAGTAGGCGGTTTTGGAGCTTTTGAAAGTAAGGAATAGCTTAGCTTGTCCCATCATTTCGTTTTGGTCATAATTTAAGACTTGGCTTCCAAATCTTCTTCTTTTTCTCAAATAAACCAAACATTCAATGTATCGGTTCATTAATATATAACCCGCCTTTGTTGGTTGTAAATTGACCTGGAGATCTTTTAGCTTTATTGGAGTTTCACCTTTGTTGATATATGTCCAAATTTGTTGAGCTTTAGAGCATTGTTGGAAATAGTGTTGGAAGGTTTCTTTTTGTTCACCACATAAGCAGCACTCTTCGTTGTTTAAATTTGGGAGATCCTCTTGGGTATTTGATTCATTTGTTCTTTCGAACATGTGTTCAAAGTGGCCTAGGTTGAATCTTTGATAAAATTCTAACAGTCCTGGAGCTTGCGTTTGAGATTTGTAAAGTTTGTACCAGAATGTTTTCCATTGAATCTTTGGAATTGTTTGCTTGGTGAAATGGACTTCCTGTTGAGGATCTTCATTTTCGACCCAGATTTCTCTTTGAATTGGCAAACCTTTTTCTTCATGATATTTTCTATTGTAATGGAGAAATGATTCTAATTGTACCTTTTCATCCTTAATATCTCTAACATTGGAGTGTAAAGCCTTTGAGGAAGGTTGAACATTTTGAATAAACCTGTGGTTAATTTCGGCTTTGGTTAAACGGAAGAATTCCATTTCAAAACCTCTTTCTTCATCCGAACCAATAGTGTGAGTTACCTTAAACCAGCTTTGTAATGATATTACCCGTATTCAGTTCCGCGCTCGTTCTATTAACACCAATTGTCAATTTCACAACAAACTTTAAAGAAACTGATACTTAATATTGAAAAATGGACATGTTGATTATCTACCATTATGTGTTCTTTTTATGTTTCCGACTACCCTTTCGTTTGAAAAGCAAGTGTACATGGATAAATGGACCATATGAATAAGTTGAATGATTTAGCTTAATTTGAGGAGTATTCATTACCATGATCTAATTTATATTCAGTTCAATATATTCAACTTGACAAAATGTTAAGAAACAATCGTTGGAAAAGTTGTTAGTCTGATAACTTTTGAATAAGAAGTTTCCTATATACTTTAATCCATGATTTCAGTCTGTTCTTTCAATATCATATACGTATTTTTGATCACACTGTTTAGTGTTTAGTTATAACCGATTTGAGATCAGCTTTGGTCTTTGGTCTCATCTATATTTTACAGATTGAATAAGCCATCGATACAGTGACATGTCTACCTACATATATCATATTATTAATCCACAAAAGCTCTATTATATCATATATTAATTGAAGTTGTGCAATCAAATCAGCTGCTGCTGCTGCTGCTAGTAACTAAATTACCCGTCAACGCGAATTTTTTAAACTTATACTTAATGTAAATTTTTTCCTAATTTTAAAAATCTTGACATCTTTTATATTTAAAAATTTTATGATACATGATTTCTGTTCGGGAGATAAATGTAACTTGGATATAGCAAGTTGTAATGGTACAAATCGACTTTTCATCATGATATGATGTTGCCATGGATGGCCAATTCCACATTCCTAATATTTGGTAGAAAAACGTGTGTTCATTGTCTGTTATTGCAACATAAGAGCTCTTTAATGTGAAACTGAATTTATAAAAATGGACTGGGTCATGATTATTGATATTAAAACTTCTCAAGATTTGTTATATCACAATCAAAGAAATAATACCACATGGTCATAACCTATATCAATCACAACAAACTTTTTGATTAATTTTATATAGTAAGTAAGTTTGATTAAGTTTACAAACTTCCTATCTAATTTTAATTCAATGGTTCAAATTTTTTCATCAATAATATTCGTAAACTAAGAGTTCTGCATTAGACTAATTTTTATTAAATATATATCCCGAAACCAGGATACTTCCCATAGTACTTAAGCTGTCGGTCAGATCAGTATATAACATAAGCTTAATACTTGGAGCCGTACAGAAGTAAATATATTAACAATTTTTCTCAACTCCACCAGCACTCTTAAAATATAACAAGTTTCTTTCAACAAGATCCTCAATATCTGAAGAGCTATACCTTCATTCCGGTATTGAGTTGTTGGTTGATCGATGTAGTATTGATAAGTTAATGATCTATGAAGCTTTCAAAGAAGATTGAAGTAACTGACAATTATGTCTATTTATATAGTTTTTCGAAAACAGCTTATAAGTTAATGTATTGACATTTGATTAAGCACAATTGATCGATGTCAAACATGCTCCAGCTATATAGCTATCTATCAGAGCTGAATATGTAGTTATTTTGAAGTACTTGGAAGTTTGTACATGATTTCGATCATCTGTGCTTCTGATATAATCGGAACAATTTTTTTAGTGAATTCTACCCAATGAAGATCAATATATGAAGTAAAAGGTCTAAGGCTTCACAGTGTAGTCTAATGACTACCACATGCGATATAAGATATAGCGATTACATCAGATTAAATGTTGAAATAACGTCAATTTCATGGACGTCAAAGCGATTAATTAAAGGACGTTTATATAAATACAATTTCGTCAATTTATAAAAGCTAAGAATTTCAAATCAAATCAGTCAGTCAAAAACCAACTAGCATTTCAATATGAAATTATTTGCCATTATCGTTCCAAGTTTATTATCATTAAGTGTTATTGGTTCAACAGTTAATACAGAAGATTCAATCACTACTGACCACTCCATATCTTTACCAAATAATTTCACTGATCCAATTATAGTTGAAGCTGGAGCTTATAAACCAATATTCTGTAATGTTGCTAACTCAAAAAACAGTGTTTGTCTAGGTAGTTTCAAACAATGTGTCAGCTATATGCTTAATGGTGGCTTGAAAGATAAGAACAAGGACCTTGCTCAAAGGGCTTGTAAATTTTATTGCAGTGAAATCAAAAATCCTACTCAATGCAAACAAAGCAAATACAAAGCTAATTATCATCCAAATTGGGCTTGTGATGATCAACAATATTGTTAAGTTCATTGCTTGATCATATGTTCAAACCCTCGTTTATCATATCTATACTAATACATGAAACTCTTTGACTAACTATATTTTAATCCTGTATATAACTCCTGAAGTTTACTGATCAGAATTATAAACAATATAACATCTACAATCTGCAATCTGAATATATTCAAAAAGATTCAAATCAATTGTATATTTATAAAGAGAATTTGTAAACTTAATCAAACCTACTTTCATAAAATCAAATGATCATTAAATGTTGAAGAATAACAAGATATCTAGGACTTTTAATCAATTGAATAATTAACAATTTCTGTGATCATATTGCAGTGTACCCAGAATATGTGCTTCAAACTTCAATCTTCAAACTCAAACAATGGCTATATTGTTAAACACACCAAAAAGTCATTTATTTCATTTACCTATTTATCAGTAATGATAAGAGTATAACACAGCGCTTTGAATGTTACTGACAGCAAAAAGAAACATGTTTGTAAGAATAAGTGTGAAAATTTCAAACCAATTATTATGCGCGATTTTTTCTAATAAATTTTTATTCTAAATTCTTTCTCAATTCTAAGCTGTACACCTGTACTTACTACTTACCATTTGATACTCCCCTGCCATAAAGTGCATTTCATAGAACGTTGAGTTCACAAAAATCTCATGAAGAATTTTCAATTAGTGGCTTTCCGATATTCATGATCGAAGTGATTCATATATTTTTTCTAGCTAGTGATACAATTGTTTATTAGTTTATCAATGCCAACTGCTTAAAAAAAGCACTATTCATCATTCATCTGTTGACCATTCTTAAACCTGATCTGTGGTAAATTTTTGATGGTAATGACTAGGATACTAGTGCCATAAATTTCATTATAAGGGTGTATCTATAGCGTGAATTTTTGAAGAAGAAGTTCCCTGTATACTCAATTTAATGATCTGTATACTTTTCATTTGAATTTTTGATTGTAGTTATACACATGAATATTATGATATCTTTAACATGTAGCACTACAATTTTCCATTCATAAACTTTCGTCAATTGTGTATTAAATAGAGATTTGGAAACTTAATCAAATCCACTTATATTAAAACGTCAATCGAAGTATAATTCTGTACTGATTTGATTAATCTGTGTAAATTGGAAGTCATTTGAATAACCTAATCATAAGCACAGCTATAAAACTAACCAATTATAATCAATTAATATAGAACGGTTATTCAAATCAGCACAAACATAAAGTAAAGTGTACACTAACTATATTTAAAATGAAAATATTGTACCCAATAAAATAATAGTAGAAAATCATTTGATTTTATACCCAACAAACATTAGAGATTATCACTGGTTCATAAGCTGTATAAGTTTAGTAATTCATAGAGTTTATCTTACAAGAAGTGTTTTCGTACAACATTCAATTTTTTTTTACAAAAGCTTTGAAGAAGATCAGGGCACAAACCGCTTCGAGAATTGTGTGCAAAAAAAGTTGATTCGTTAATTCACTATTATAAGTTTTTTTTAAACTTGTACATCTTGGATAGCCTTTTGTTGCAAAACGGACAACCGTAACGATTTGTTACCATGAAGTAGCTTAACAGGTCTTTGTTACATTTTTCATGCAGTATGTTAAGATTTGTTGAAATAAATTAAGCATAATAAATCATCAAGACCTTTGAATACTAACTAATTACATATTTCAGTTAGTTCATTGAGCTCATCGTATTATATTGGGACTAATACTTACTAGACAGTGCATGAAATGTGGAAAACAATATGGTCTTTGTTGAATCATGACAAACCCATTTAATGTTCATGTTTAAATAAACATAATTATTCATTGGTTTTATAGTATATAAGCTTTGAAAAGAGCTTTTACATAGAATTTAATGATTATCATCTAATTGATTATTGAAGTAGTACATATTAATAACTAATATAATCATTGGTATTATTAATATTTATCATTAATTAATAATAATATTATTTAATATTAGTTATATGATATTACCCGTATTCAGTTCGCGTTTTGTCAGTGATCATGAGATTTCAGAATTTTTGTTTATAATTCCATATTACTTTATACGTCTAATATTAAAGAGGTATAACTCATAAATTGCCTAGATGTTGCTGCATTTTTTATTTGGTAGATTGCCTTTCGTTTCCGAATGTATTATACATAGCTGACGGTCCATATTCGTACGTTAAATGAATATAATTCACAGAATATTCATGAACATGGTTTAGATCGACCATTCAACTTGAAAATATTCAACTTAACATTTTGTTAAGAATATCAATCACTGGAAAAGTTTTATAGTCGTCGATAACTTTTGAATAAGAAGTTTCCTATATACTTTAATCCATGATTTCAATTTGTTTTTCCAATGTTAAATATATGTAGTTTCAATGAGTGCCCTGTATACCAATATGAAATTTATATCGCATATAGCAATTTTGTTTCATTATATACACAAATTGAAAAAGCTAATGTGTGATGACATACATGCATATTTATGATAATTATATGATCTGAAACTATCGATTGCTAGTGAAGTTTTCCAGATCTTTCCGTGTAAACTGTTCAGCTAGCTTGATTAAGTTTATAACATCCTAGTTCGATTGACAATTCGATATTTATTGATGGAATCTTGCAATGTGACAACGATTAAGAAAATTAAAATATATTTCATTATAATTATAAGAGTATATATCTATAGAATGAATTCCCGAAAAAGAAGCCTCTCTAATATACTCAATTCAATGATCTATATTATACTTTTGGTTCAAGATTCTTGATCCCGCAGTTACAGGTTATAAAATTAGCAATTCATGATATATTCTTGACTACAATAAATTAGAGTGGTCTAGAAAACTTTCATCAATTGTGTATTAAATAGAGATTTGGAAACTTAATCAAATCCACTTATATTAAAACGTCAATTGAAGTTATATCAGCTGAGATTTGATTACTCTGTCTGTGAATTAAAAGTCATTTGAAAAACCTTATTACAGCTTGGTTAATAACTCTCATTTAAAGTATATATCAAACCATAAATTATTTAAAGAAGCGTTCTATGCCAAACCAAAATGTACGCACCCACGTTAAGTATTGGAATTATAAGACTTTTATTGAAGTAAGCTGTGCAGGAAAAGTTGTATAACTTTATCATGCTCAAAAACTTTTTCGAAAGGGCTTTTAGACAAGTGATGAAAAACTTCAATAAAACATTCAAACGAGACGTCAGCATCCACCCAATTAATTGATCTGATCCAGATCTTTAAGAAGAATAATCATGATTAATATTAATTTTTTTTTAAGCCTTTATGGATCAGGGCACAAACCGTTCAGTGTGAAAAAAATATAATTAATGTGCGATTTTAATTAGTTCATGAAAATTATACTTTGTTCAATATGTGTTAATTAGCTTTTGTACTTTGATTTTGTTTGATATAATTTTCGTTTTGGTTCAACTATTTTAAAAAGGGATGGTACAATTTGATGCTGATGATCATTAAGGATATTTGCTCAACCGTACTGATTTATCATGCAGCTAATATGACCTCTAATTTCTGTGTCGTTTTTTGATGTATTCAGGTATGTTTATATCTCTTAAAATTTATTAATTAGTGATGAATACATTCTTTATTACTGTTGAATACTAACGTATACAATTGAAGTTTTTCACTTGAGTTAATTCCATTTGAGTTCATTCCACTGTGTGTATACTCTAAGCAGACATTATGACTATGACATATTCTAATGACATATATTTATGACCTTTGTTAATTTACGATTATAGGTCCATTCAATGTTGATGTTCATTGTACTTCACTATATTCATTGATTTTATAGTATATAAGTTTTGGAAAGAACTTTTACATAGAATTTAATGAATATTATTAATTTATTTGGTTATTGAAGTAGTAGTACTAGTATAATAATATTATAATTAATATAATATATAATATATACGATCCGTCATCTTACCCGTATTTAGTTTCGCGTTTGATCAATTTTAAAATTTACTAAAGTTCAAAGTCATTCAACTAATACTACTTTACAATGAAAATAGATAGTTGTCGGTTTCCATATTTGTGCTGTTTTTGATCTCACCCATATTTCTCCTGTTTGCGTAACAGTGATAATTTGATGATCTGATGGCCGGTCCTTACTCATAAATTTTGAATGATTTATTTTGAGAAGTATTCATTACCATGATCAATTGTTTATTCATTTTAATATTTTATTAACTTGACAATTAATGTTAAGAGTTTCAATCATTGGAAAAGTTGTTAGTCTGATAACTTTTGAAATATAAGAGGTTTCCTATATACTTTAATCCATGATTTCAATCTGTCTTTTCAATACTAAATATACGTAGTCTAGTGATCACACTATTTAGCTGTTTAGTTAATAATCTCAATTACTGGCGATATGATCTGCATTTTACGTATTGAATTATAAGTCATCACTACAAGGATATGTTTACTGATTAATTACAGGAACCACAATCTAAATTAAACTCCAATGGATCAATTGAATCTGTATAATCAATTCTTTAAAATTGTTATAACGCTTTAATAGTTACGGGTTATTGACCAGGGCACAAACCAATTTTGATAATTTTGGTTTTTCGTTCATATGATTAATTGATAATTGATTAAATTGTCAATAACATAGTTCTAATGAGAACGTGTTCCTGTTTGTTTTGTATACAGCTTGCGCATGTGCATTTAGGACACCAATATCTTGTTTTTAGCTACGTTTGGCGTTTGATTTTACTCGATGACGATATTAATTCAAAAAGTCATAAGTTACTAGGTACTAATTTGAGAATCTTAACTAAATATAAAGACATGACTTGAGAAAACCATGATAATATGATGAGGTTATACATGATCTTTAAACAGTCTTATAGCACTCATTATACAAAGATCATTAATCTGATAAGTGATCTCAAAAAACTATTCATTATTCTAAATGGTATATAAGTTTTGCAAAGAA